AGTCGCCTTAGATTTCATTCGAAAATACCTCTTAGATATTTTGTCAGTTCTAGTTCCTATTGAAATCGGTGACATCCAGACCGCAGACATTTATTCGATCGATTGCAATATTCTAAAAGGTTCCTTTAGTGAATTTTACAGAGCAGCGGCTAGTCGCTACCATTAGATCGTTCTCTTTGATTTACATCCTAACTGTTTCCATACTTCGCTTACGAGAGAAGTACCCCCAGCTTTCAAATTACTTTCGAGTCGGAAGTGTGTGCATAATGTAAATCCTAATGAACTATGCATATTCTGGAAAGGGCTCATACTGCTAGCCTATTAATGTCGAAATCTTAAATTTCTACGCTGGCTTTAAGTATAAATTCGTGGTCTACCTCCCCTCACCCCTCAAGAACGCGAGGAAAACTGATTTTAGAATTTCGACTTCAATATTTGCGCATCGATGCGCCTCAATGGGAATAGTTTAGTATGAAAGTTTGAAATCTTTTGGTTATTTTTATGCTAAAATACAACCAAAGTTAAAGTAAAATGATGTTTTGCCTATATACCAGATGGACCAAAAGTAACATAAAAACTGAAGAAAGATTGAATATCTCCGTTACAGCTTGATTAAACAGGATCATCTTTTTATCAAGGATAAGAAGCATGTTCACAGTTCAAATCCATACAGACAAAGTTAGTGAGAATATTTATTCAGTATTACGATTTGTTCAATAAGAAAAAGTTTCCTTTTTCACTAGTAGGCAAAAAAACTATTATTCAAGATAGTGCGAGAGTCACATTATTGAATAGAAAATTGATTATCTCCATTAGGGCGTGGGTAATGAAAAGAGAAATTTTCACACCCACCTACACCCAATCTTGACACTCACACGAACCCTGTATGTACTGTATAGGACCCTGTATTACATCGTCACTGGGTTGTATCGGGATGCAATATAAATGAATAATAATTACAGACTGAACATTATCGTAGTTCAACGAAATATATTCAATTACATTGTATATTTCTAAACCTTCGTGTTTATTTTCTGAAAATTCGCATAGCTCGTTAATATTTCTCATTGAATAACTAGTTGCTAATGAGCAGTTATGGATAAGGGATAAGACATATACATTCAGATTAAGACTTTTGTGATTAGTGTAAATTTATTGAACGAACTGCATTCATCAGTCACAGTGAAGTGAAGTACAAATAGTAAGATATCCGTTTTTCTTCTTGTAAAATTTTTCTCTCTCATGATAGTACAGACTTGTGTCGACGAACTGCAGTAAAAAAAATGAATGCATGTTTTATATTCGTAATAGTTCTCTTCTTCAAGTTTAATAGAAACGTTTCTATTTAGTTTGCTTCGAATGGTGAACGATGTGCGGTATAATGTTACTTTATGTGATATTTTTGCATGCGATTATCGCTAGTCCACAAATCAATCTTCATCATACAAATTTGGTAGACGACTCTGAGAATGACATAGGCACACAACATAATTGTTTGATTGTAACAGCTTCAACTGAGAACAAACGTTATTCTCATCAAATTATTTCTTACTGTTTGAGTGAATGGCCATCGGAATGGAACATACAAAATTATACTCAAAATCAAATATTTTCTTTTGCGCAGCTTAATAAGCAAAATATTACCAGTCATCATTTGTACCTATGGTCGGCACCAATTGATATTATAGAAAACTATCAGTTATATTTGAACCAACTATCAATTTCTAGTGAAATATCAGAAGGAACACAACTTTTCTACAATTGCACACTACCATCGTTTGGTCCGTTGTGTCAATATTCATTTGATTACTATGAATCTCATTATTCATCACTGGCTGAGATGATTCATAATTTCTATCAAAATAACCCATACACACAGATTGAATTTACATGCTATACTCATTTGAAATGCAATCGAGGTCCAGATCCATCATGTCTCGATTGGAGTGAAATCTGTGACGGAAAAGTAGATTGTCTTGATGATGGTCTCGATGAGCAAAATTGTTGGCAACTGGAAATCAACGTTTGTGGATATAATGAGTATAGATGTACCAATGGACAATGCATCCCATATGCATTCGTAAATGATAATGCTGCTGTTCCTGATTGTCTTGATCAATCTGATGAATTTAAATATGCAAGTGATAGAGTGTACCAGTGTCATCAGGCTGAACCAACTTTTGAATGCGAAGATATTTTGTGTTCATCACGCCTTGATCGGAGCAAGAGACTACTGTCAACTTTATGTGTGACGGAACGCAACAAATTACTAATGCAAGCAATGTTTTCGATTCAACCAGATTCGATATCTAATCTTTGTTGGGCAGTTTTCATGTGTCTTCTTCATGTATCACGATTTTATGGGGATCAACTGTGCTCACACTTTTGTTGGGAGATGACCTGTGCTGACATAATCAAGCATAATTGTCCAGATTTGCTAATTGCTCCAACTGTTCCAGTGTTATTTGGTCACATCTATTTTGCTTACTCAAAAGATATGTCTGATTTTGCTTCAATATATCCAGCAATGCCTCAATACATATGTTCAAGTGATCAAGTTTTTATAAAAGACTTCATCGTCAAGCCACATATTGTATTCAATAATTTTACATGTTTCCAACCTACAGATATTGGCATTTTTTTACGACCAGCGTTGCGGGGAACGATCTTTAATTATATTGAAGATGCCTCTATTGCATTTTCGAAATATGAGTCAATATTTACTAATGATTTGATACTATGTAACAGGTCAAACATGTATCAGTGCATAAATTCCACCAAATGCATCTCGAGATTTCGTCTAAATGATGGCCATATGGATTGTTTTTATCATGATGATGAACAGATGGCTCTGATTAACAGCACTTGTTCAATGCACCCATATCAAAAACAATTCCTTTGCACCATTAGCAATACATGTATTTCATATAGTCGTGTTGGGGACGGTACATGCGATTGTGAAAAAGATGAATTTTTTTTTCTGTGAAGATGAGAATCTCGATGAATACTATGCTCTTGGTCACATCTCGTTTCAAACAATATGTGATGGATTTGTGGAACTCTTACCAGTGAATATCGACGGTCGAAATGAAACAGATGAAACAGAATGTGAGTCGTGGGCATGTAATAACACTTACACACGTTGTGATGGTATCTGGAACTGCTTTGATGGGGCTGATGAAGTTAATTGTCATAGTTCACCATTAACTCATTGTCCTTTGCATCATCACTTATGCGCTTCGCATGAAACAAATCAATTGACATGCCTACCTATTCAAAAGGCGAATGATGGCAATATAGATTGTATCGGTGGTACTGATGAGCCAAAAGAATGTAGGCCAACTAATTATCTATGGGCTACAGATGATTTTCAATGCAGGAACGATATCCATAAGCATTGTTTACCTCCTACATCAATATGTAACGCTAATAAAGACTGTCTGCATGGAGATGATGAACAATTTTGTAACAAATCGGAGTATTTTTCGCCTTCATATCCCTATGATACAAAATGTAATGAATCGATGCTTTCAGATGTAGAAAGCTTTATTTGCAACTGGCTCTCTAGAATTAATAAGCAAAAAATAGTACATTTTTCACTCGATAAACTTTCGAAGTTGACGAGCGACGATACTAAATACGATAGATTCACACTTCAATCAAGTTCGTCAATAATTTGGACATTTCATCAGCATCAGCATCGTTGCAATCGTGGTTTTGACGTGCAAGTATGGCTGAATCGTAAAAAGAACTTGACTACAATGACATGCTTCTGTCCACCTAGTTTCTATGGAGAGACGTGCCAGTATCAAAATCAACGAGTAAGTCTTACTATGGTATTTCAAGTTTTGTCTGATGCTTGGAGAACACCTTTTGCAATTCTTGTCTCACTTATTGATGATAGTGACGATCGAGTCATTCATTCTCATCAACAATTCACATATCTACCTATGAGAGACTGTCAAACTAAATTCAGTGTCTACCTACTCTATTCAACTCGACCGAAAAATCATTCGAAAATCTATTCAATACATATCGATGTTTATGAGAAGATCTCATTGGTTTATCGAGGAAGTTTTCTTCTACCACTCATATTTCCGTTTCTGCCAGTACATCGTATAGCTACTGAACTAAAAATTCCATCTAATCAAGTGGTGCCCAACACTTGCTCAAATCAGCAATGCGTTCATGGTCAGTGTATCAAATATATCAATACATTAACTACTACTACTTTCTGTCGATGCCATCGAGGATGGTTTGGAAAATTATGCACGATTCCACACAGTTGCATATGTTCATCAGATTCTCTATGCGCCGGGGTCTCATTCAGCAATCGATCGATATGTGTGTGCCCGATTAATCGATTTGGACCTCGATGTTTTCTCACGAATCCAGTGTGTCAATCGGGTCAAAACGATACATGTGACAATGGTGGTCAATGCATTCCTCAAGATGAATATATACAATCAGAAAAGAACCACACATGTATCTGCCCGAAAGGATTCACTGGAGAAAGATGTGAGATTCCTGATGCTAAAATAATCATATCATTTAACAAAGATATTTCTCTACCTCAATCGATGCTTGTTCATTTCATTCAAGTAATCAATAATGCTCCACCTGAACGGGCAACTACTTTCAAAACTATTCTCAACAACAAAGATTCAGTCGCTATTCAGTGGTCACGCCCATTTCACATTATGTTTGTCGAGCTATTACACAAAAGTTACTATTTGGCAGTTGCTCAAAAGACGTACAATCAATCGATAATTATCAATAAGATAATAAATCCATCTGATCGGTGTGAAAACATCAGTGAATTATTCAATGAGACGATTGTTAACTGGCATCTACTTCGCCGTATCAAATACTATCATCTACCATGTCAACAAAGACAATCGTCACACAATCTATCATGTTTCTACGATGATGTTCATCTTTGTTTGTGCGAAAACTATGGTAATCAACGTTTGGCCAACTGCTTTGAGTTCGAACATAATATGAAATTCGATTGTTCTGGTCAAAGTGGATGTGAAAATGGAGCTCGTTGCTTCCAAGATAGTCCCCGTTGTGCTCAAAAATGGATTTGTTCATGTCCAACATGTTTTTATGGAAAACGATGTCAATTCAGTACAAGTGGGTTTGGTATTTCACTTGATGCCATTTTAGGCTATCATATTTTGCCTCATGTTAGTCTTGTTTATCAACCAATGGCTGTACAAATCAGTATAGCGTTATCGATAACGATGACAGTGATAGGACTCATCAACGGAATTCTTTCTTTTATTACATTCAACAACAAAGGATTATGGGAAGTTGGTTGTGGTCTTTATCTATTAGGTTCATCAATCACTACTCTCTTAACGATGACTGTATTTTCACTGAAGTTCTGGTTTCTTATATGTTCACAGATGGGACTTATTACTAACCGATTATTTCTTCATGTTCAATGTATTTCAATAGATTTTCTCGTTCGAATCTGTCTGAGTATGGACCAATGGTTAAATGCATGTGTAGCTATTGAACGAATGGTCAGCAGTATCAAAGGAATCAATTTCGATAAAAATAAGAGCAAGCAAGCAGCAAAGTCGATAATTCTCATTCTTATTTTTCTGACAACTGGCACTTGTATTCACGATCCTTTCAATCGAAGTCTGCTAAATGATAATAATGATGATGATGGTGATAATGAGAAGAGAATCTGGTGTATTGTCAGATACCCATCCAACGTCCAAGTCATCGACAGAGTGATTCAGATTGTTCATTTCTCGGTTCCCTTGGCCATAAATTTTATTTCAGCTCCTATTATCATCATCACGACGGCCCGTCAACGATCATTAGTCCACCAAAATGAGTCTTATATGCAACACTTATTTACTCAACTTCGACAACATAATCATCTTCTCATCTCTGGATTTATATTAGTGATTCTAGCTTTTCCACGTCTGACTATTGTTTTTGTATCCGGATGCATGGAATCAGCTCAGAAATCATGGTTGACTCTTGCTGGATATTTCGTTTCATTCATCCCACCCATGTTAACCTTCGTCGTATTGGTCGTCCCATCTCAATTGTACAAGAAAGAATTTTACATCACTATTGGGCCCTATCTAAAAACAATAAAAGCTCATCTAGGCATACGATAATGACAGTAGTTCACCAATGTATTAACCATCGGTACACTGTAACCACCGGAGATGACTTTTCGCGTTCGACATTGCTTGACTTATCGCATCAAGAAAAATTGGATTTTAATCAAACTTTTAATCAATAAAAATCGACTAAAACTATGCCTTTTCCATGTTTTATTTTCCACGAGATGGGTACCTTTTAACATATTTTTACCGATTTGCAATTTCTTAATAGATTTTAAACATATACAAAAATTAAGATAAGCTGGTATGACTGTGGCTGTCGAATATGGATATATATTTCAACACCATCCACATCTGCACAGTTACAGTCGTAACCATACCCTGGATAACTTATAATCTCGTTTTGTTAGTTTTATTATGAATGAGAAGATAACAAGATAAGATATTTTGCGACATTGTCAGAGCTATATTTTTATATCATAATTTTTTAAGCAAACTCAATCGAAGAGAAGTTTTTAGTCGAACACACTGGTTCTAGATTATAAATGAATCGTAAATCTATTATCTGATGAGTTCCCTCTATCACTATCGTATGAAAAAATTTGCAGTACTTGGATGTGTGTGTGATGTGAATGGCGTTAGGGCTTGGTATTCATTTCATTCCCACACCCACAACCATCTACACTCTCCCACATGCGAACGCTACTTTTTTCATCTGGATCTGCATCATTCGTTTCATATTAATCGCATTGATATTACTCTGGCAATTTATCTATACAATCAGCTGTTACAATTATTTTTAGACAACAGTTTATTAAGAAAAGAATATCGATGTTTTGATGGGCAGACGTTTAAGAAGACAATTATTAATAACATGATTGATAGAAGACCATTGACTGTATGTTTTACAAATAAAAATGTTCTGTTTCAGCCAGTACACGACTTCCGCCTTCGTATAAGATGCTATACGATTGCACTAGTATCACTTGTGAGAGTGAGAAAAAACTATTTATTTCTGTATTTATCTAGAACAGAAAATTTTCCTTCTTGTTTGTAGACGCCCATTCTCATTAAGTTTTATTACTGTACGTGAAATATTTGCCAATTTGTGCTTTTGTTTTCTAATTTGAGATTAGGGTGCGAGTGTGGATGTGTATGTGGGTATGGGTCAGAGATGTCTATAGTTGCGCTACTATCAATGCGAGCGTGCCTCCGACGTGGTTGACTTGCATCGACAGTAACGCAACGATGAACATCTCTGGTCTGGGTGTTGATGATGATATGTATATCGTTGAAGAACACATCTACAACCATACGCACATGCATACTCCCATCTACGCCCACACCCAAAAACTTTAAAAGGTTATTCTTATTATGCCAATGAGCACATTATTCAGATAAGAGGAAACAAATTGAGATCGCACTAAGCGATGGATGTCCTTTTAGGTGATATAATATAAGAGAACACACTTCTCTATTTATACAAAATACTCGAATGCGCAAGAAACGATGAACGTTCTTTTTTATGACATGCGGTCAAGGAGTATATTAAATAGATATAATAGACTAATCGAATTAGCAACAAGTAAAGAATGTCAGTCGATATGGTAGGATACAGAAGAAAACCGTTCTGAGATAATTGAGCTTACGTAAAAAGATAGACGCTTCCCAAAATGACACTACCCCCCCCCAGTTTAGAAGCCCCCGGGGGCTTCTAAATTGTCAACCGTTCAAAATTTTTTAAGTGGGCTTCTATTAAGGAAGGGCTACTAATGCGATTTTCGTACAAAAGTTTCAAAAAAAAAATCAGAGGAAATAAAAAAATAAAAGAATAAAAAAACCAATGACTCGATCTAACGTAAGTGAAAAACATTTTAATCTGTTGCCCAAAATATCAATTTAGGCTGAAACAGATTTTTTTTGGTTTCAATAATTTTTTCAAATTTTCGTTCTTCAAGTTTTTAGCGTTTTTCTGAATTTTAATTTTCTAAAATTTTTAAGTTTTTGGTGATTTTTTTGATTTTTTGATTTTTTTCAAATTTTAAATCAACTGACTTTACATCAAGAAAATAAGAGAAATCACAGAAATAAGAAAAATCTGATTTCAGCTGTTTTCCCCTTGTAAGAGAGTCATTATTTCAAGGATCTTGACTATTTATTTGCGATAAGTTCAAATAATCTTACGAAAATCTGTGAAATTTTATCTAGAGAGACAAAAAAAATTTACTATTCAATAAATACAAGCCCAGGGCTTCTAATATGAGGGGGGGGAGGCTTCTAATATGAGGGGGGAGGCTTCTAATATGGGAGGGGCGTCTACACTGGGAGGGGGTTTACGTAATATCTCTTGGGGTATAAGTAATACTTCTGTATCTGTCTACCCAATTCATCTTCTTCTTCTGTCTCTCTTTTCTATCTCTACTATTTCCTCTCCTTTCTCTCTTGTTCAACTTATCTCCTTTCTCTCTCTGAGCAGTTCACTTTTCTTCAAGTTGAAAGAAAGCAACTATCTTGACAGGCTGCGCAAAAGGAGAAGAAGTATTTATACCACGAATTCCCATGGTTCCTAATGATATGCCATTCGAGTTCAAGCGTCTTCAGTTTCCAGTGCGTCTTGCTTTTTCAATGTCTATCAATAAAGTTCAAGATCAATCGTTTAAAGTTGCTGGTATTAATGTAGGAACTCCTTGTTTTTCCCATGGTCAGTTGTACGTAGCATGTTCAAGAGTAGAAACTGGAAAGAATTAGTACGTTTTTGCTCCTGATGGTAAAACTCGAAATATTGTATATCAAACAGTTTTACAATAAAAAATGTGTTTAACTGAACTGTCTTCTTTGTTTAAAAATAGCTCATAAAAGAGGAAAACATCGAAAAGCAACTTTGTTACATCAAAGATCGTTAACCAGAAAAGGATTACAGCGATATTNTTCTCTTTCATGAGATACATACTATCAAACTATCTTGACTAACATCGGGTACTTCCGCTAGTATATATATAATTTCTGTTCGTATTGAGATAATGGATAACGGCTCGTAAAAGAGTGTGAACGTTATATTTAAGAACCGTTTAGATAAAACCCAAGTAAAGTAGTTTATTATAATTAATGTAGCACAAACAATACAGCAACACTATGCTGATAACAATTATACGTATGTATTAACCACAGCAAAATACACACGATGAGTCTATATACGTAGACAATAACTCTAATGGTACGTTCTTCAATACAAACAAACTAAACTACAATAAGAAGTCAAATTGACTAGAGCTCAACTCTGCTCAATCGTTGCTTTCTTTCAACTTGAAGAAAAGTGAACTGCTCAGAGAGAGAAAGGAGATAAGTTGAACAAGAGAGGAAGGAGGGGAAATAGTAGAGATAGAAAAGAGAGACAGAAGAAGAAGATGAATTGGGTAGACAGATACAGAAGTATTACTTATACCCCAAGAGATATTACGTAAACCCCCTCCCAGTGNTTATGTGGCGATTGTCTTTGATGAAATGGTAGATGATATCATTTCACAAAGATATTTCTCTACCCCAATCGATGCTTGTTCATTTCATTCAAGTAGTTAAAAATTCTCCACCTGAACGGGCAACTACTTTCAAAACTATTCCTATACAAAAAGATTCAGTCACTGTTCAATGGTCGCGCCTGTTTCATATTATGTTTGTCGAACTATCACACAAAATTTACTATTTTATAGTTGCCCAAAATACATACAATCAATCGACAATTATCAATAAGATTATAAATCCATCAGATAGGTGTGAAAACATTAATGAATTTTTCAATGAAACTATTGTTAACTGGCATCTTCTTCACCGTATCAAATGCTATCATCTACCATTTCATCAAAGACAATCGCCACATAATCTATCATGCTTCTACGATGATGTTCATCTTTATCTTCGTGAAAACTATGGTAATCAACGTTTGGCTAACTGCTTTGAGTTCGAACATAACATGAAATTCGATTGTTCTGGTCAAAGTGGATGTGAAAATGGAGCTCGCTGCTTCCAAGATAGTCCTCTTTGTGCTCAAACATCGATTTGTACATGCCCAGAATGTTTTTATTGAAAACGATGTCAATTCAGTACAATGGGGGTTTGGCGTTTTACTCGATGCCATCTTAGGTTATCATATTTTACCTCATATTAGTCTTCATCATCAACCGCTCGCTATACAAGTCAGTCTGACATTATCGATAGTGATGACAGTGATAGGACTCATCAACGGAATTCTTTCTTTTATTACATTCAACAACAAGAGATTATGTGAGGTTGGTTGTAGTTTTTATCTGATAGGTTCATCGATCACTACTCTCTTGACGATGACTGTATTTACACTGAAGTTCTGGATTCTTATATTTTCACAGATGGGACTTATTACTAACAGATCATTTCTTCATGTTCAATGTATTTCAATTGATTTTCTCCTTCTAATCTGTCTGAGTATGGGCCAATGGTTAAATGCATGTGTAGCCATTGAACAAACAGTCAGCGGTATCAATGGAATCAAATTCGATAAAAAGAAGAGCAAGCAAGAAGCAACATCGATAATATCTCGTTCTTATTTTGTTAATAACTGGCACTTGTATTCATGATCCTTTGAGTCGAAGCCTGTTGGATGATGATGATGATGAGAATGAGAAAGAGACGGGAATCTGGTGTATTGTCAGATACTCACCAAATGTCCAAGTCATCGACAACATGATTCAGAGTTTTCATTTTACGGTTCCATTGGTCATAAATTTGATTTCAACTTTTCTTATCATCACCATAACTGCCCGACGACGTTCATTAGTCCGCAAATATAAGTCTTATATGCAACACTTATCTGATCAATTTAGACAACATAATCATCTTCTCATTTCTGGATTTACATTAGTGATTCTAGCTTTCCCACGTCTGGTTATTATTTTTGTATCCGAATGCATGGAATCAACTCGGAAATCATGTTTGACTCTTGCTGGATATTTTATTTCATTCATCCCACCCATGTTAACCTTCGTTGCGTTTTTCGTCCCATCTCAATCGTACAAGAAAGAGTATTACATAACTATTAACAACTATCTAAAAACAATGAAGGCTCGTCTAGGCATACAAAAGTGACGGCAGCTCACCAGTCCACTAGCCATCGGTGCACCATAACCACCGATGATGACTTTTCGCGTTTGATATCGCTTGAAATATCACATGAAGAAAAATTAGATTTTAATCTATCTTTTAATCAATAAAAATCGAATAAAATTATAGCCTTTCCAAGTTTTATTTTCTACGGTATAGATGCCTTATAATATAATTTAACCTATTTATCATTTCTTAATCGATTTCAAAAATTTATAAAAAATGTTGATAAGCGGATGTGGCTGTGACTGTGGGTATGAGGTTGTGGGTGTGAGTGTGGATGTGGGGTGTGGGTCTGGATATGGGTATGGGTGGGCGTGACTGTGTGGATTTGGGTTTGGATATTTATAAGAAGCACCCATACCCACACCTCACACCCACACCTCGCACCCACATCTGACACCCACACCCACACCCACCCACGCCCAAAATTAACATTCTTTTATAGTATACTATGCAAAGAAGAAGCTCATCGAATCATTGTCATTTTCAAAACTTCTTCTTAAAGTAGCTATATTGGTGTGTTATAATACAATGATTTATAAGATTGACAGCACATAAACATAAAACGAAATGCAATCTATCTATCAAATCGCCATTTACTATAATTACCGATAATTTATAATTAAATTTCATACAAGTATAATTTGAATTGTTACATTATACACGTGAAATTTAATATTTATTCCTGAATAATTGAACCAACTTATATGCAAAATATGAAATTTGATATTAATACTATCTGCCCCTGATAAGTTTCTAAAGTTTTCTACAATTTTTTAATTCTTCAGTTTATGTTTAGTTGCCTCTTTTTTAAACTTTCTAGCAGTCTTACTTTAATTGTATAATATTTGATTCAAATTAACTTGTTATTTCATTTAAATTAATCGCTTATTCTAGTTACCTCATTCATTTATAATTTTTCAATTTACATTAGTTACTTTTTCATTTTTATTATTTGATCATTGTTTTTATATTTGTTTTGTTTATTATTTTTTTATTTTTATGCTTATTTTCTCTTGTAATGCAGTGCCCTGAAGAATGTTTTAATTTCTAAATAAATAAACATGAAACGCGTCGGCAAAATATATCTGCATTAATTTTGTTTTTTTACAAGTAGCGTTCGTCGGTTCGACTCACTTGACCCTCGACTGTATAATATAGAAGTATATTCCGCATGTATTGTAATGAAAGATCTGGTCTGCCAGCTTTATCATAATAACTGACTCAAACCTTTATCAAATATCGTTTTTTTTCTCAAAAAACCCTTCCCTTAACGCAAAAAGCTCATTTCAGAATTTAAAAATTCTGACTTCAGATTCGGACTCCCCGACCCCGATTCGCTTTGGTCAAGTTTTATGCACATTCGGATGCTTTTTTTGACCCGAATATTCTTTTAACCCGGATACAAGCAAACACGCACACACACAAATTATTTTTTTTTATATGACCCTCCCTACAGTCGAGGAAATTATTATATTTCAAGCATAGTTATTTGATTTTATTATTAATTTAATATTCGACATAGAATCGGTTGCTAAAAAGCAAGAGTTGAGAGTAGCAGATCGATTTGTATTTGAAGAATATAAGTCGATCTGTTCTTGTTTAAATTGATTGATTTACCCTCATCCTGATTGTGAGTAAAATGAAAACAGTAAGAATAGACTAAATAAGATGATAAATTAAAATAGAATCTGGATCATAGCAGTATATGTCCAAGCGTTTCCGTGAACATGTGGTAAAGCTTTATGGTCATAAGGAGTTAGGTTGGAATAGCATCGCTGTTTTGAACGCTTAACAGTTCTTTGGTCTCAAGCTTGTTAGTTTCTTTTCTAGCTTTTGCGTCAGCTTTTTCTTTACGAATTCTATCATATGCTGCTAAGTACCGTAGTAGAAGTGAAAACATAAACACCACGGCTGCAGCAAAGCCGACGCCAGCAAAGCTGTATGCCAAGATTGGAGTAATTGTGTCGACATAAGCTGTTAATCACAATAATATAGAAACGTGGACTACAGATAACGTTTACAATTAACGAGAATACTTACCAGATAAGCAAAATCCTATAACAACAAAGACACCATCGCTAAAGTACATCCAAGCTAGAGGCTTAGAGACACTTCCTGGAATCAGCTCTTTTAAGATGACAGATCGGAGACTTATGCCGCCAGCTATTATTACATGACTGTGTAGCTATTACATTATAAAAACGTGTTTTCCTTACCAACAAAAAAGCCATAGACAATTTGAAGTGAAAGGAACGAAGGGTCGCCGTAGATCATGACATGCGGAAAAACAAGCATTGCCGCAGCACAAACAATTGTGCAAAATGTGATGATCGTGTATGATGTTAAATATGGTTGCTTATGATTGAAGTGGTAGCTTATGTCTGCGAAGAAGCCTAATAAAATGCGACCAATGGAATTGGAAACACCCCAGATTAATATTATGTTGTTTCTAACACCCTCAGAAACGCCGTATTTAGGGTTACGTGCTTGACCGGGTATGAGTAAAGGTGGAACATAATAGCCCATAATAAACAACGACGTCATGATCAAAAGTCCAAAGAAGTTATAGTTGCATAATTTGGGTTTGGGTTGTTCAGATTGATCTCCTGGGGGAGGGATGAATACTATTCCGCACAAAACATTAACTCCAGCAAGCCCAGCAAAAAATAGCAATGTTCCGCGCCAGCCGAAAGGTGTTGCCTCTAGAAATGTTTTGAAGCAAGCACCGTAGAAAATTGCACCAAAAGGTGAACCAGCCGTTACTAAACCCGTAGCAAGCGCTTTCCCTTTTTTGTGAAACCGATCTGTAATACTAGATATCGAATTCGTGAGGAGTAGAGCGGACCCCACACCTATATAAAATATAAAATATGATATATGATACACTACATATTCAGATAACAAAATCACAAAGAATAAGCGACATACCTTGAAAGACTCCCAAAGCTAGCAAATCAACAGCATAACGCCACTTAAATTGGTTCAAAAAAGCTAATGCAAAGCCTGAAAGTTGCAATCCAGCGGCAATAATTATGGTAAGTCGCATGCCAATTTTGTCTGCAACTTTTGGTGCAAGCGGGGCTTTAATTATTATAGAAAATACATAAAAAAAAGATAAATTAATTATCGAACAAACATACCTAGTATACAATAGAGCCCTGGCACTAGCGAGCCGATAAGTGCAATCCATTGTTTCTCAACTTGTGGGTATTCTTTTTCGATTTCTAGCTTCAACAAACCGAATACAAAGTTATATCCATCTACGCTGAAGTTGATGTAACCAGCTGCAAAAAGCACAACAAACCTCCAAATTTCTTCCCGAACGCCACAGAAACCAGAGTGCGTTGTAGACATAATGACAGTAAATGCAGGCTATCTAGAATACTAGTTGTATAACGTAAAGACTGTCACTATATCGTCCCTCGGTCGAGTGCTGTCTCTTCTGTAAGTATTATTACACGGTTGACACACGTTTATTGAAACTATACGTATTAGATACGACGCAAAAAATGCGTCGTAGTTACAACTTCTTAAGCACATAAAACTGTACTTTGCCTTTCTTCAGGGTGTGGGTATGTGGGTGTGGGTGTCTGGGTGTGGGTGTCTGGGTGTGGGTGTGTGGGTGTGGGTGTGGGTGTGGAGCGTGGGGTGTGGGTGTGGGTGTGGGTGTGGGTGTGGGTGTGGGTGTGGGTGTGGGTGTGGGTGTGGGTGTGGGTGTGGGTGTGGG